TCAGTCAAATGGTAAAATCCTTTTAACTGCTCAGGTTGTTGCTCACTTCCAGAATCATCACAAAATATTTATTGTGAGACACAACGCAGCAATTTTTGTGGTTTTACAGCCACTCACTCATGTGTAGTAGGGTTCATTTGTTTTTTAAATGCTATGTAACAACTCAAATGGGAACCAAGTCCCAGACCCTCAAAAGCATCTAGGTACTAAATCCCCACTGAAATCAATGGGAATTAGGTGCTTAAATACCTTTGAAGATCTGGGGCCAAAGGACTGGCACTTGGCTTTGCAAGACCCTCAACTAAACTATGTGCATGAAGCTCAGATAGATTCCTCTACCCAATACATCTGAGGATTGGGTGAGAGTTTCCCAGCAGAGCAGGTTGGGGATGTAGATATTGCTATTTTGTTGTGTCAGAGAGAGGGGGGAAAAGGATTTGAGTTCCAGTGCTCCTGAAAAAGAAGCCTGAGTATATGACAGCGCAACTGTCTGGACTAATCTTCTGAGAGAGAGAGAGAGAGAGAGCTTCTTTGTAGAAACCCTTCTCTCATTGACTTCTGTTGTTGTTGTTGTTAATGGAATTGTACATTCTTTTGAAGATGAAATAATTTTAGTCTTCCTGTTTTTTTCTTTTTTACCTCCCTGTTTCATTCACAATGTAAGTTAATTAAAAGCATATTTGAGTCGATAAAAGCTCTTTTATGTAACATGTTAAAAAGAAACATCCAGTATAGCCTAAGTAATTTAAAGTTGGAGAAACTGAGGGTTGTGTATTTATCTTTCCTAGTGTTGCAAAGTTTCACTATTAATGTGGCTGGTTTTAAATGACTATCAAGGTATCCTGATAGCATAAATTTCACCCAGTGTTTTAAATTCTTTCTTTAAGAAAGAGCCATTTGTCTTTTGGCCTCTGCTCCCATTGAAATTCACTTTTTTCCACGTGATAGCAGACAGTTGGGTTTTTTTGAGCTACTGGTATTTTTCTCTTAAAATCCTTGGTACAGCAGGGGTTCCACAGCTTCACTGTTCTTGGGATTCTTCCCCATCCAAGTCTGTTCTGAATTGTTTCTTTTGAACTTCTGTGTGTAGCCCGATTATATTGTCTGTGTTGAAAGTAGTTATCCTTGCTGATCTTATCTTAAACCATTTAACATTTTCATATACTTCAATTAAATCCTCCTTGAAACCCACCCCTTTACATTCTTTCTCTAGGTGGTATAAATGAAAGGTCTTTCATTTACCCGCCTTGCTCCTTCCCTCTAATCCAGACTATCCTTCTTGGTATGTTTTCCACTGGAATGTGTTGGGTTTTATTAAACAAGGTCAACAATACTTTTGTTGTTGTTTTCAGTTTAATGTGGTTTTGCAGGAATAATAAGTTTTGCCTTTTCACAGAGTTTAGAAAGAAAGTTTTAACTGTTTTGACCTGGCAGCAAGGAAGCACTGTTGTTCTGATACCTTATTTTAACTAACCTAGAAGACAAATAGTTTCTGTTTCAAAACCCCAAATGTATACTGCCCCAGAAGGGAGTTGGTGCTTTATTAGAGACAGATGGAAATTTCATTGGAAAGTCTGCAGGTCAAACCTTTTTGATAAATAACAAAGAGTTAGAATCAGAAATTAAATGAGGAATGGCTCTATGGGGAAAGTAATTCACTTCCAGAGAGTTGTGTTTAATTTAGAGATGGGCTCAAGGGACAAAATTCTGATTCAAGCCCAGATTTAAAATACCCCCCAGTTTGAGATGTTCGGATTGGTGTGATGGTGCAATCCAATGTTAACATAAGAGGGCATTTTAAAATTCAGGTCCTTGCCTCTACTAGAGCTATGCCAATTTACACCAGCAGCAGAGAATCTGGTCGAAGAAGCCAATTGACCTACGCCAGTTTACATCAGCTGAAGAGCTGAGCCCAACAAAGTTAATAAAGCTGCACTGATGAACAGCAGCTGAGGATCTAGCCCATTTTGGCTCAGAGAAAGAAAATCAAAAACCCTCAAAAAATAATGAAAAAGGGGAGTATCCTAAGTTGCTTCGGTGTGCAAAACTCCCAGTGACTCCAGTACAGCATCTCAGGAGCAGACCTCTGACCAATCAAAATCTTGCTCTAGCTGTGCTGGGAAATGATAATACCTGTTTTTCCCATTTACTACTTGAACCCTTATTTTATATTTGTTCTTAAAACAGTGGACAAGATAAGGAGACATTGCAATTAAAAACTAAAATAAGTGCATTAGAAATTCATTGATATTTGCTTTTTTCTTGTAACAAGTACTGAACAATTATGGTTTTTTTTAAAATAAGAAAGAAAGATTAAAGCTTCACCTGGAATCAGAAGCAGAACATTTCTCGGAGTTCAGAGTTCAATCAAGGTCAGAGCTACATTGAGTCGGAAGGGGAAAATGACTGCCCTCTGCATACACATGCAGAAGCCACACTTCCTGCTAAAGCCATTATCTGATCAGAGATTACTAAATTATTAACCAACTCAATCATAGGAAGGAGATTGTTAAAAGCTGTGAATGCTACTTTGTGGATGGCAAAGCTGAGGCAGTCATTATAAAGGTAGGACTTTGTACTGAGGATCAAATTTCATAAAAGCCTAGCTGGCACTTGCTAACAAGAGACCAATAGCCTAACCAGGATATTTCTAACTATTGATTTGTGTCCTAAAAGCCTAAATTCTGGCCAAGGATCCTTCAGATGTCCCAACACCTTTCATATCTCCGCACATACTATAATGGATTAACCATCCATCAGGGTGTTCTCCACTGATACTTCATGTCCTTAGATTGCCTGCTTCCTGCCATCCATCCCCACCCTTCACCTGTAAATATACTGCATCACTCTCTTCCATTCTTCAGATTAAAATGGGCAATTTTTAGCCCTCAAAAGTATGTTTTTAAGAGTTAATTTAGTTCTATCTATTCAGAAGAAGTTACTTACCAGCCAGGTGGTTCTTTGAGAATCACCTCTGTGCATGCACAGTTGCAGGAGACATTGCTAGGGGGCAACTCGTAGCAGTGGGAATTCACGCAGGCCCCCAAAGAACACCTGTTCTCTTCTTATACTATGTCCTTATGTCACTGTGGATCCCCACAGAAATGGCAGAATGCGAAATCAGCCACCAACCTAGATCTTTAGCAGGGTTAGAGCTGGTCAGAACATAGAATTTCCAACATTTCAAATTTTGCTCTCATTTCAAATTCAAACAAAAACAAAAAAAAATCCTGTAAAATGAAAATATGTTAAAAATTAGTTTTTGGTCAATTGGCATGTTTTGTTTTGATAATAATCTAAACTTTTTGTTCCTCTTTTGACTTTTGAAAATAATTTTAAAATGTTTTTAAATTAAAAAAATGTTTTTAAAAGTTGTTTTGAAATGAGAAATCAAAATGTTCCATATGAAAAATGTCAAACCAGAATGTTTCAGCATTATTAAAAACACTTTGCTTTCATTTTTTTTCAAAAGGAAATTTATGTGAAATAGCCGTGTTTCCACAACCATTTCAATTTGGACAAAATGGCATTTTCTGATGTCAGAAAATTTCCAAGCAGCTCTAAGAATGATACTGATGATGGGCTATGACTTGTGTGCACCTATTCCATTTTTTTGTATTCAGGTGACATGGACGTCTGTACACTCCACTTTATATGGAGAGATGACTGGCATAAAGAGGCTCCCAAGAGGCTAAGCCTGCCACACCATTACTTGATTTTTCTGTTTCTAAATGTCTGTTTTGTAGGCAGTTCTTGCCTAAGTCTACCAACAGTCCAAACTATTTCACTGTTCCAGAATGAGACCTTCTAGGGGAAAGCACACACTTCCCACCCTCTTTAAAGTGGTGGCTGCCATGCAGAGAGTCCAGCTAGAATGTCAGTATGGGTGATCAGAATGAGAAGAAAAACAATCCACATACCATGCAGCACTTTGTAACAGGTTTAATTCATGCTGGGTGATTAATACTGTCTGGGGATTAGACCCGTCACACATAACTTGACAATTTTGTTTTGTTTTATGCCTGGAAATTTTTAGAATAAATGACATTCCACCTCACCCTCTGCTCCCCTTTCAGCACTATTCTGTCAAACTGCTTTCAAGTGGTTTATTTTAGACTTCTAGGAACATTTTGTAGAGTTGAAAGGCATTTTGTAACATACTGTATAAACAAAGAAATTTCTCAAAAAAGATCTACAAGAGGTATATTCCAAATAATTTCATTCGTTTGTATTGCTTGGTATTGTTAAAAAAGTATGTTTTAGATTAAAGGGTACATTGAGAAAAATTAGATAAACTAGCAAATATAATAGCAAAAATTAAGGCCCCAATTCAGCTAAGCATTTGAGTGCATGTTAACTTCAAGTATCTAAATAGTTCCACTGAGATCCATAGGAATTTTGCTGGAGTACAGACTTCAAGATTAGACATCTTTGTAAACTTAAAATTTCATAAAAATCCAGCTGTTTGGGGGTTAAGAAAAAGAAATATACATGTTAATCCCAATCTCATCCTTCTTTCTTATACAGTGAAACCTCTACAAGTCATCATGGTTATTAGGCACTCTTCTGTTTTAGTTGACCGCATCAGTGTATCCCAAATTTTTCTGCGTACAATTCTGTTTCACATCTAATAGAAGGACATCTCCTTTAAGCACATTTTAGTCTGAGTAGTTGTTTAAGACAGGTTTCATTGTATTTTGTGTTCATAGGTAGCTGGACTAGGGACTTCTTCATGAAAGTTTTAAAAAATGATAGTTAAATGAGTCTTTTGTTGTATTTTAAAAAGGGGTTTTGTGTGTGTGTGTGTGTTGTTTTATAAATAAAGCTGTTATAAATAAAAAAAAAGAAAAAAAGAAAAAAGAAAGTGGCCCAGACCCTCAGCTTCATCCAAAGAATGCACAGAGCAATTTAAGAGAAGGATGAGGAGCAATGGTGGCTTCTGCAAGCCTTTCATTAGACACGTCATTTAGAGACTAGTAATTAAGAGTATTGTGTTCCAGGTAACGTTTGAGATGGCAAAGCAGCTGGGTCAGGAGACATTCACTGACAAGAGCCTAACGTGGACTTTAGGTTTTGACATAATCTTCAGAGCCACAGAAGTAAGCAATAAAGATCAGAAGTAAATTTACTTCATAGAATACAATATGTCATGTGTTTTATGTTATGGCATGTATATAATACTAGCACTGTTCACTTTTTCTAGAGAATGTATGTACCATATCTTAGGTATTTCTAGATAATATCTAGAATTCACTCATATAACTTTACTTTTTCAAAGAGTTGTAGAAGCTTTACATAAACGGCACTTTTTGGGTTGGGGGGAAGGGTAAGGGATATATGTTTTATTGAAACTGTACAGTGGTGTATATGACTGACAATTCAGGATACAGTCAGATATAGTGTATCAAGCTATTTTATTCTGAAGAATTAACTTTTTGTGGTAAGTGGCCTCAGGCATCAATCTTAGTCTTATCATGAACTGGCTTTTCAATTAATATTACCTAATGGACCCCGGATCCTTGAGGCAGTGACTAGAGGTACTAGACAGTGTTCAGTTTGGTCACAGTTTGTTCTTTTAATCCTTCATTACAGCTCTCATTCCATCCTACAACAAAGCTTTATGGGGCCTGATTGCTAGGTCACAAGATTAGCTTTTAGAAACCACTGTATTGTACTTACCTGTCTTCCTGGTAATTTGGGAGACTTGAATTAATATTATGAGTCACATTATTATTCTGACCACTTGTAGCTGCCACAAATAGGCATAATTTTACCATCCTATACCCCCCAAAAAGTGAGTATGTTTTTGTACTTTCTACTACACCCCGGTTCTCAGGTGACTTCATATGCCTGGATATCCATTCCCTCACACCATGTGTAGGACTTTGCCAGACCTGTTGTCCCTGTCATATTCTATGTGATCTGATGGTAGAAGTGCCCTCCATCTGCTCATCAAAGTCTATCATTTGCCTTTGGTACTTTCCTGTACTGAGCCATGAAGCACAGAATGAAATGTCCCAGCTGTAGGAAATGCTCATTTGAGAATTAACAGATAATGGGAAGCAACCACTGGAAAGGAAAACAAAGCTGCATTTTTCACCCCACTCATTGATTTTGTGCAGACCTGGATAGATGAACTGTTAGAGAAGAACTTTAATCCCCCCCCATACATTTCTTTCACTCTGCTTTCAGCGACCACCATGCTCTGTTTTTCCTCTGCCATTTAAAAATGCGTCTTTGGCAGCTTGTCAGAGACAGTCCATGTATTCTAGAAAGCTGCTGCTGTGTTGTTCACAAGGGTAGTAAACAGTTGTGTAAAAGCAGGTTCTTGGACACATAATGTTACATGAAGAATATAAAATGGGGCCAACTCTGCTGAGCACTGCCAACTTGAGCATTGGCCAACACTCATCGCAGATTCATTCAATCACAAAGACCTTCACATCAGAATTGCAAAAAAAGGGTCAGTTCTCTCTCTCTCTTTGTTTATTCATCTCTGAGTGAATGAGTGTTTCATGTATGAAACTCTCCACACTTTGAGAACGGTATGTCTACAAGGCAAAAGTATAATTATCCATGGGGTAGGTAGACTAAGGTAAACGCCAGCTCCAGGTGCTCTGCTTTTGTGCTTATATTGGTGTGTGCTGGGAATGAATGAGTCTCTGTTTAAATGTTGCAACACGGGTGTCATGTTCTGGTTTTCTCTTTCATAATTAATTCCATGTTAAGCTGTTCCCCATCTCTCTATCATTACTAAGTGCTGTCTTTGATGTTACTGGTCCCTGGGAAGTAATTTGGATTCTGCTTCCCTCCCCCGACCCTCCCTCCTACCCTATATGTTGAGCTTATCACCTTACTAATGCTCAGAATTGCTTGCATCCCCACAGAGAGCCCTATGATTATTCATTCTAATTTATACATTTTTCTGAAATGGTTCTTAAATTAAATCTTTTTACTTTATCCAAAAAACAAGATCTGATTTTTATACGCCCTCTTTTTTATAGTTTGGAGATTCGAAACCTTATCTGCATAACAGAACTGTTCAAATAACTATTTTAGATTTAAAAAAATTAAATAGGAAGAAATCAAATATGCAAAAGGAAAATTAGTGGAACTTTTATAGTAAAGGTTGATAATGCATAAGAAATAAATACAGTCCTATCCAAAGTGTAAGTGATTAATCTGAGAATAATTTTGGAACACTAGAATGACTAACCTTCATGGTTGTAAATGTGAAAGGATGGGCAATAAGCAGTGTTATTTTTCTCATTAGGAAGCAAGTAACACCAAGAAACAGAGAGAGAAAAATCAAGATGATGTTCAAACCCATTTTATCCTACAACAAATCAAAGTCCGAGATCACCACAGGTACACAGCAATGTAAAATGAGAAAAAAAAATTGGTTATTACATGGCATTCATAGGTAATGCCTATGAATTTCCATTAGTGTTTTGCTTTGGCATGTGGAGAGAATCCACTAATGTACACATTTTGTTTTCCTCCTTAATTAACAGGAAAGAAATGTGGAAACACACACTGGAGGAACATGCTAAGGATACAAATGTGCAGAGAATTGGCTAAATTGATGATGGGTTGGCATAACTTTAACACGTTTATCTATAATGGCCCAATTCTACTCCCATTGAAGTCAGTAAGTATTTTCCTTTGCCTTTACTGGGAATAGGATCATGCCATAAATTAATTAGTTAATGCCAAAATGCTATCTTAAAGACAGTAATTTCATATTAAATACATATGAACGTTCAGTGGTATCCAAAATATTGCCTGAAGCATCTAAATAATCTTTAAAAGTCATTCATATACCTACATTAAATTTATTCTATTATTTATTTTCATTCATGACTCAGAGCTTGATGGAAGGATCTTTCAAAAATCGTATGGGGACAGGCTTGCTTCGTAGCAGTCAGCACAGACACAAGATTGATTCTACCTTACTAACCAGCTATCTGTTCCCCTCACATTATATGTGCATTCCAAACCCTGGCCCAGATCCTGCAAACACTTATGCATGTGCTTAATTTTGCTCACAAGCAGTTCTGTTAATTTCAGTAGGACTACACACACGCATAACGTTACTCATATGCTTAAGTGTTTACAATAATGGGCCTTTTTCTCTCTCTAAGAAAAATAAAGTGGACCATGCTCTCTTACTACAATGGATGCATTAGGATGTTTTATAACTGATGTAAAGACAATGAACTGGCCAGGAGCTTTCTAGACAACTGTAAAATATTTAGTCTTTTTTTTTTTGGAGTCCAGACATTTCCTGTGCTTCAACCCAAAGCATAACCCAAGGTACAGTGAATGATTTCCAGACAAATAGCAAAAGTAAACTTCCAGTGAAAAGCAACAGAAAACTGGCCTAACTAAAGTAACAGATATAGGAAATGAACACATTTTCTTTACATACAAAGGTAGCAGAATCTTCATAAGCCAAAGAAGAGGACATGTTAGAAACTTCTGGGCCAAGCAGGTAATTCATTTACTAGGTTCCAGCTATAGTAGCTAAATTAAAATCTGCAAGACAGAGATTTTCAAACTAGAGTGCTCTGGTGTAGAAGATCCTGCTGTTGGCGCAACACAGCATTAGGTATTTCAGAAACCTCTCACCTGGGGATGATTTTAGGAAAGCTGCCAACTCCTATGGGCTCAAAGGTGGGAAATGCAGACAGTCCAATATTAGAACGAGGCCCATGTAAATGACGTCTGAATAGTGGCTCCCTGTTGTCATGGTGTTGTTTTTTTCAGGTCAGTGATGGACAAAGTGCGCTGCCACTGGGTTCAGACTTGGCTTTAAGCGTCTATTTGAGTCATCTATCTGAATCCTATGGCAGTGCACCTAGTCATATGAAAAAATACACCTATCTGATCCCTACTTCCTTTCCTCATAGGAGATTCAGTCCTGCAGTTTTGTCATTGAAATCAATGGGAGCAGAACTGGACCTGGAGCAGTAGGCATTATAAAGGCAGCATTTCCTAACAGTTACTGCATGATGCATCTGACATACCTCAGTTTTTCAACAGAGAGCCACTATTCAGACCTCATAGAACAGGAAATGGTAATTGTGCTGTGTCTTTTGTGAGACATGTTTTTAACGGTGACTGCTGAATGGTGCACAGTATCCCTGTACATATGCTTTTAACAACTATTAAACTTCTTGATGACAACATTTATTGATCCAGTCCATAGTTTTTCTTCTGTGTTATGCAAAGGGCCAGAATGTAATTTATTGCGATATCAGCACTTAATGGGGAAGGTGACTATGCTACCATGGAGGCAGCTTTATCCCACTTTCCATGCTAGGTGTCCCTTTCACAAACCAACCTGATGGGACCCAGAAGTAGTTAAATTAAAATCTGCAACAAAAGGCTTAAAAGCTAAAGTACAATGCATTCCCGTTTTATTGTAAGAGGACACTTTTACAGGCAGCCAGGCAGACTCATATCAGCCTCCTTCCTGACACTGCAGAGTGGTAAGGTCTGCTGTTAGCAGCGATATTATCATCAACCGGTGGGACCAGGAGAGAGGCATGTTTCAGTTCAACCCCATTTCTACTATATTAATTCAAAAATACATATCTTAAGTCAAGACATCTTTGGACTGACCAAACATTAGTAGACTTGGTTAGTTCTGCAGCTGTGAACACTATGTAAGTGCATCATTTCAGAGAAATCCTTCAGCTTTAATCTACAACAGATGTTGTGGCAAGAGAGGCCATGTCAGTCCAGTCTAAAAACATGAATAAAAAAGTAATTATTTCCCTCTGTGCATTTTGCATTTTGCAATTTCATTTCATTTGAAAATTTTTACTGTATTTATTGGTTGTCTCCCTTAATGTCTAGTATGGGGTCCCCAGTGATCGTGGTCATTGAAGCATTTTTTCCCATTGCTAATGGTTCTGTGCCTCAAGGAAATGCGGTGGCGACTAGTGGTGGTTGGGATTTGAAGAATTACCCTCTTCTTTCATCATGTGGGTGGAGGAAAAACAGTGGCATTTGCAATGGAAACATACCATTGCTGTTCAACTAGTGCTTTGTTAAGCAAGACAGCAAAAGCATCTGGTTCTCCAGAGACCACTGTTGTTCAAACCCTGGAAAATGGTGCTGATTGAGAAGCTTATAAAATAGAGAGGAATGAAGTCAAATTACAAAGAGAAGCAACAGAAAAGCAAAATATGACATCAAGTAGTAATTAGGTAAGGCCAACTACAAACATACAAACCAACCTTAATCATGAATAGTCCATAATAGTGCAACCTAAACTGAATATTGGGAACTCTTTCCTGTCAGTGAGATCTGTTAGTCTGTGGAAGACTCCAGGGGAGTGATTATGTTAGACATTTAAATCCAGGCTAGCCAAAGTAATAGAAAATATATTGTAGGATATAATCCTGGAGTGGTAAAGGTTGGATTGAATACCCGGAGCAGGCCTGTTTCATCTCTAATACCTTTGAACCATGCTAAGTGTACCTAAGGAGACTATAATTTCATTGAGGGATTCTGATGACATTTATGATGCACCAATGTACTCAAGAGAGTCCTCTTTTAGGCTTGTTACTGCCTAGTTTTGATTACGTACAGTACATACTGCAATGTGAAGGGTAGAGCTTGGTGAAGAGAAGAAAAGAGTCAGGTATCAAAGTCAGGGATGAAAGAGAATGGGGAGATGTCCGCTAGGTGGCGGTAGTTAGCAACATGGAGGGAGAGGGGAGAACCATGTGTAATGAAACATTGTTCCAAAGAGAAGAACAAATGAGGACTGTCTGGAAGTGGCATGAGTGGAAGCCACGGCAAGGAGTGTGTGAGGAGAGGCACCAGGAGAGAGAACAGCTCAAAGGCAGTGCCAGAGAAGGAGCCAGGTTTCAGTGAGCCCCTAGCAATGGAGAACAGAGGAGATGGAGGACCTGGATGCTAGAAATGGGATAAGCATTCCAGAGGGATCAGGAGAAAGGGAGGGACAAGGCTGGTAAAGAAAGGCAAGGGCTGGAGGGAGGGTGAAAGGCTATGTTGGAGAAGGTTGAGAGAGATGATGGAGGGAGGGCTGGGGTGGAGGTGGGATGCAGATCTGTGGGGAAGTAAGGGAATGAAAAAGAGGGGGAGAGAGAACAGGTTATAAAGGTGGTGAGACCAGTATAAAAGAGAGGCTAAAAGAAGTGAAGCTGGAAAAGAAAACACTAAAACCCAGAATTGGTTCAGTGAGAATCAAGGGTGAGTATTTGCAGGTTATGCAGGATTTGCAGGATTTGCAGAAAATCAATTAACAAGTCTAGTTTGTAAGAGCTTTGGGAAAGGATCATGTCTATGTGTTTATACAATGCATAGCTCAATGGGGCACTTGGGCACTACTATAATAGAAATACATCACTAATCAGATAAGGAGTCAAATTAAGGGGTAAATACATGTTTGAGGACAAATCCTACTGTCACGTTCTCTCTCAGCTTAGAATAAATTTCATCTCAGCATAAATATTTAGCTTGAAAGTGTCCTTGTGGTCCGTGTTGTTCAGTGCAGGTTTTCTAGAGCATGTATTATTGTTTATAATGCTGGGATATCTGCAAAGAAATTAAAACATTGCTCATTTCCACACTCAGATACTTATTTAAATCAAAGTGGAAAATCCTTAGCATTGAACAGGAACGTGAGGGTTGTCATGTTGTAATAGACAAGACACTGTTTATCTAGTCTGGCTTGCCTCTAGTTGTGGCCATACTTAACATTTAAAGGGAAAGTGAACCTGAATCATACATCTGTTCAGCTGAGCAGCAAAAAATTCCAGCAAGGAGGGAAGGCACCTCTCTGACCTCAGCTATAGGAATGCAATATGTGTTTGATGTTATAATAGCTACACACACTTTATGGATTACAAGGAAGCCATTGTCAGTGAGAATCAAAAAACATGAAGTTCATCTACAAGAAAATGGAACCTGTTCTACTTTCTACACAAGATTTTTATTCTAGATTTAATTCTTTGTATTGCCATTTACCCTTAACGCTTATATGTATTGGGTGCATAGTATGTAGAGTATGGGACAGTATAACGGAGGCTATAGCTCTGAATGTCAATGTATATGAGATACAGCATGATGTCTATGCATAATTCAAATGGAGGATATCAAGAATTGAGGTTGCTCGGGTACTGTAAGTCTGAATTTTTAAATTTTCTAACCTTTGGGCTTTTAAAAAAACAATCTTAATGTAGGATTTTCTGGTTTCCCCAATAACTATTTCATGGAAATGACCATGTCCAACTAAGAAAAAATAGTGGGCCAAATTATTCTCCAGTGCTATTCGTATAGCTATGGTTACACCAAGGATGAATGTAGTACTTAAGTTCTTCTTACAAACTTGCCAGTTTAACTCCAACCTAAATCTTGTCTGGAAATATTTTCTAGTTAGCTGCCCTTTTAGTAAAAACCTATCAATGCCCCAAGTTTGACCCATTTTTTAAACATCTGTTTGCAATTGCAAATTCAATGCAATTTTAATGTTTTTTTCCCAAAAAAACCCAAACGAGTCAGAGCTATTTTTTCTTCCTGGTTAGTGCCTGCAGCCTTGCAGTTGTGACAAGCCCCAAATATTTCCTTCTGGGGCGGTGGGGGGTCGGGAAGGAAATCACCCAAACCTATATTAGCTATGGGGGAAAATAGCACCACAAAAGGAGAAGACTTGAATCTCTCTTTATTTTCAAGGTATGACGCACAGACTTAGGCCCTGGTCCTTCAAGCTGATTTATGCTGGCAGACTCCTGCTCCCACAAGGATCAGGATCAAGGCCTTAGTACAGCATGAAACATACACTGTCTCCTAGACTATATTTACTGGCCACAGATTGTCTTCTCTGCTTCTGCTGTTACCGTTTTCATATCGTCCTTAAAGATACAACTTTATCCATGTTTATAACCTTAAAAAATTCTGTAATTATCTCCCTTTCCCCATACACAATACCTTTTCATGCCACTGTTATGTCACCAGTAACTGCTGTATGTATGTAGTATATTGTAACTTCAACTGCAGTGCTACTTTAAGGATTTCTTAGATTATCACAAAGGCATAGCCAACCAGATGCTGTTGATTCAGAAAAGATGATAACATTATAGAAGCCCTGTTCTGAACTCCTTACTCAGACAGCTCTTCCATTGAAATCAGATAGTGAAAGCTATCTGAGTAATTACAGAATAAGGAATGTTGAACAACTATCAAGTGCAGCAGACGTGAAGTTTGAGGACAGAGTGTTTACCAACAGGATGTCCTAAAATTTGCTATGATATTATTTTTTTGTTTTTAGAGTATGGTAGAAACATTGGAACAAATAATGTTCGTCAAAAGTGTTAGACAATGGAGTGAGCAGTAATTTCGGAGAAAAATGAAGATGGAATTTAAAGCAAATTTTTTCTTTTCTTTGGGAACAATCATGATTTCTACAAGATTATGAGGTCAGATAAACAGCAAAGTGAAAAATCACAAGAAAATTGGCCAGTGATTCAAGGAGCACTGAGGATGTGCATTAGAAGATAACACTCAGATATGAATCAAGAGCTCTAATCGTTAACTATTTAGTGTTGTCGTCATTTTAAAAATGTAAAACATATTTCCAAGTGGATTCACTGTTTCATGTAGACAGTGTGGATGGGCTTTTCAAAAAGGCTAAACACTCACCTTACTGACTGCAACAGGAGCAGAGTCTGGTCAATGCTGAACGCTTTTGAAAGTCCCACTCTATGTGTTTGTGTTTATAAAGCAGAAGTGGGAGAGGAAGAATTGTCTAGTGATTAGAGCAGGGCACTAAGAACCAGAAGTCCTGGATTTGAGTCTCGGCTTTGCCACTAAATCAGTGTGTGACCTTGGGCAAGACACTTAACCTCTCAATGCCACAGTAGAACTGTGTACTATAATACTTGCCTACATGACAGGTGTGTCTGTAAAGTGCATTGAACTATTTGCTATAAGAGCAAAAAGTTGTATAGAGGGTTTTTGAACGATGAACTGAAATTATTGTACTACTTAATAAACAATTTTACTTTTTCTTTAGCACTGTTTTGTGTTTACAGTAGGGATTTTTTGTTTATTAAATGGTATAGTTCACTACTACAAATACTACAAATATTTATTAAATGCTATAGTTCACTACTACAAATATGTACTCCCTTTTGTCCAAAACAGTCTGAAACTGATCC